TTCTGTTTTATACAGAACTTTTTTAATGAATGTTATAAAAAAAAATAAAAAAAACACTCATAAACGCATTTAACTTTCAGTATTGTCAAAATCAGTATTTTTTTTTTTAAATATCTAATACAATGAACTGATTAGTTACTAATCAGTTGCAGTATATTATAAATGTTGTTAATTACTTTGACCCACAATCAGAAAGTCCCATACAAAAGCATCATTGATGGTGGATTACGGTTTGGAAAAGTCATCATCATTGAAGGAGTCATCAATCCTAATGGGTTTGACAACAAAAATAACACCTTCTGTTTGAAATAATCTTTGAATCATGACAGCTTCCAGCTGATCAGAAAAACATTCCTCTTCTTTCCGCAGAATGGAGATTTTTCTACGGCACAAAAGCGGAATTGCGTTTTACTACAGTCCTCGTTTTGATGAGAATGTGGTTGTGTGCAACAGCTATGAGGATGGGACATGGGGCGATGAGGAAATTTATGAGCTCATGCCGATTCAAATAGGACAACCGCTGCAAGTAAGCAAACATTTGACTTTATGAAAGTACCATTGATATTCAAGTGGACAGTGTGGATATGACTGTAAATACACTGGGCAATGACTGTACAGTACAATTAGGGAAAAATCTGTAAAGTGTGCAGAATTGAATGATTTGAATGCGTTTCAGGTCACCATCTTCTGCAGTCATCAGGGTTACGAGGTGTTTGTCAATGGTGAACAAACTCACACTTACAGCCATCGCTACACTAATCTGGAGGAGATTGATGTTCTGGACATTCGTGGAGACGTGCAGCTGAGCTTTGTGCAGCCCTGACAAAGATTTCATCCAGATCTATGAGGAAACCATGTTCAAAACCAACAACAGCTACAGTGATGATAATAATAATACTTAAAAACTAATAAACACAGGCTGTTCTGCATTGATGTGTCCAACCTATCTGTGCTATCTGTGTTAACAGTTCTAGTAAAATATGCCTACAAACACAATTTCTTAGACTATAAGCAAAATAGCACTAGTGAGAAACAACAGAGATGTGACACGGTTTTTTTTTAATTTCCAGAAAAATTTGATCTGGATCTAATCATCAAATTTACAAGTAAAATGCTAAATAAAATAGTTGAAATCTAACAGAAATGCTCCTGACCACTAGAGGACAATGTAGACCTGGAAACTAACTAGTGGTATAGGATATTATCAAATTATTGACAGTATATTATGTTGTTGTTTCTTCTGGCGTGATATGCAAATGACGATTGTTTTCTGCCGCCACATTTATCAATGTGCTGACTTTTGTGAGATTGGCGGCATACGAATGTTTCATGAATCACACGTGAACTCTGTCATAAGTTGATTTGTGCACACGGATCTGAGCTCGTTTCTACATTAGATTGATAAATGAGGCCCAATGTGTGAAGGTCTTTAACTTGTGTTTCCTCAAAGTTTACCTAATTTGTTTGGATTTAGTTTCAGTTTGATTCTAGCTCCATGTTTAATCTGACAGCAATTTCAAGCGATCATTACATTTCGAGATAATTAAGAACTAATAGAAAACAAATCGAACATGAATTAATTGAGATATTTGATTATTTTGGACATCCCAGAGGTCATGGATCCTATGATCACAAATTCTCAGTCTAATCTTAATCAAAGTTCGCAAGGTTAATTTAAACCTTTCAGCTGGCCACCTTCTGCTTGCTTAGAACAAAAAGTGTAGTTTATGTCACTTCAATACAACTTGCCGGTGATAGACAGAAATCAAAAGATCTCTAATGAAGTCATGAGCCTTCAGTCTGCTCTATCCTGGAAACATCAGCCTCCACGTGATCTATAATGATTTCAGAGGAGATCAGAATAACTCAAATATAACATTTTATCTGGCAGGTAAGACTGTATCATGCCAATTACATAATTAAACAATTTATTTCAGATATGATAAATACTTGACATCAATTGCTCATACTAATATCTGAGGCCTGGTGTTGTATTTGAAGGTGTATTCCTGATTGGAATTGCAATGTACAGTGGACTTCGATGTATTTCCCTTTCTGTTTTTGTCTTTTTTTTAATTGAAAATTTCCCTAGACTATATTGAGCTGTTCCTCTCGGAGACGGCTATACAATCTACAGTATTTTAGAAAGGAACTGCATTTTTTATGTCTATTAAAATGGAAATACGTGCTCTCTGGCATGCTACGGGAATTAAATTGCATTTAAATGTCCATACAATTTAATCAAAATGTATTTATTAAATTTCATCTATTTCTTATATTTGTAATCAACAATAATAAAGTATTTATTCTCATTTACTTCAAAAATAACAATATGAAAATTAATAATAAAAATGAAACAATATAGCAACAACTTGCTAAACTGGTCTGAGACTAAAATAAGAGTTAAGAACAGCCTAGATTTACAAAGAACATCACTTCAGAAGCAGCAGGGTGTGTGTATTTGCTAATATTTATACAGTAGGGTAGGACGTCTACACATACCAACCAGTTTTTTGCATGAAAGCCTATGCTTTTGACTTCCATTGAGGACTTTCACCTGTCACAGATCAGCTTTCATTTCTTTCATTGCTGCACTAAAGAGTGATGCCATGTGTTTACCCTCATATTTCCAGCTCAATAGTGCAATAGCAAACATCCTGAATGAGAAAAAAATGTATTTCTTTGTCATATATTTGAGATCTTTCTCAGTTTAAATCATATAATTGACCACATAGTTTCACATTGTACTGTAAAACATCTACGAGCAAACGACAAAATGAACTGAAGGAGAAGCAAACGTTCTGTAATTATTTCATTTCACTTTTATATGATTTCATGAAAAAGCTACATGAGCAGCAGCACCGACAATAATAATGCTAATATTTTATGTGTATCAAGCAGATCACATTAAAGGACGCTGCATAGAGCAGAAACAAATTCTGGTTGAAAATAAAAATTTAATTCAGATATGAAGTTAAATGTAAATGGCAAACTTGTGTTTATTGGAAGCCAGACCAGTGGGTGTGTATCTGCTGTGTGGGGTTTTCCTTTTTTGCATTTGACAATGCAGGACAGGCTCTTTAGTTTATTTATTATTGTCTTCAGAGGCTGTTGCACGGACAACGTGAAAACCATCTGCAAGTAAATGCTCATTTTTGTCAATTATTTATTTATTTTGTTGCAATTACTGTATGACCTTGTGTACACATGTTTATGAACTGGATACACTAAATTGCTGGAATAAATTACAAAGAGTGAGTATAAAAAAACCTGATCAGTTGCAATGTTTTCTATCTTACTGTATATAACTAACAAGTGTTTAGAAAAGATATAGAGACAAATATCATGTTGCATAAATTTAGTACATAGCACAGTCAATAATTTGGTCATATGAGGAAATACTGCATACAATAAAATAGAGAAAGAATGGCGATTTTCTTGCTGTTAGTAGAATAATTCTATGGTTTTAATTTAGTGTTGACTTTAAATTCAGTATTCGATGATTTAAATTTTTTTTCACACAGCTCCTGTAATAGTGAAACTGACTGTTATTTTTTACTTTTTATAAATGTTTAATTCTACTGTTGCACAAAATAATCTGTAAATGAATGTTTGGTGTATTAACTTATTTTTTAAATATATATAGAAAATGATTATGACAACATTCAATGAACTATTTGACTGGAAAAAAACAAAACAAACAAAAAAACAGGATTTTTCCTTACTAATATATTTTATTACTAATATATGTTTCCTCTTAATCAAGAGAGATAAAATTAAGTAAGTCAACTGACAGACAAGATGCGGAGGAGAAGCATGGATCAACCTCTTCAAAGTAAATTATCTATCTATCTATCTATCTATCTATCTATCTATCTA